TGTCACTTATTGAGGATTTACAGTACAAAAACACACCATTTTGTGACTGGCTCTTTAAATGCAAAAGAGCTGCTGCAAAGGGTGGGGTTTCAAGAGCTTGTGTGTGTTAGCAGCTGCGATTTCCTCACGCAGATATACTAACATGACAGAAACTCCCTTTAAAGGGGTTGATTAAGATTTCACTTTTTTCATTTTAAATAGTGTGTAATGTTGCTGTTGGTGCATGAACAGTATCTGCAAAGTTGCAGCGCTGAAAGTTTAGTGTAAGCAGAGATGTCGTCTTTTAAAAATCAGGAAGTATATTGCCTACAAAAACGACTCGACTGGGACTACAGCTGGGTTTTAGACGTCACTAACCCACACATTTCCATCAACCCCTCCCTCCGGAATATGCAGAAAAGGGCATGTGCATATTTCTGCGGCACGACAAGTGTGTTGTGTTCACCCAGCTGTCAGGTCTTCTGTGTTCAGGCTTCCCACGGACGCTGTACTTCGTCAACAATGGATACAATTTATGTTTGATTATTTTCCTGAAAATGACGATCGTAATTTAGCTCTCTGTGCTGCGCATTTTACGGAAGACAGCTTCCACAATCTCCACGAATTCAACACTGGATTCAACAAGAAACTGTTACTAAAACATGAAGCAGTTCCAACTTTAAAAGCAGAGGCAGCAGTTGTTCGGCCACAACCTGTAAGTAGTCTAAGACTTAATCATTTTAAATGTATTTGCATGTATAATTCCAGACGTAGCCTTGTGTTTTATTTTTTTCAAATGCCAGCGCTGGCTTTATATCCACTAGGCTGCTAGTTATGCTATTTTGTGTCCACGACAAACGCGTACAAACATTATGGACCTGAATTTTGTATAATTACTACTGTTTTAAACGTATTTTTCATGTGTATATGCTTTATGTTGTTTTCGATTTGATCAAGAACGTAAACTAATGCCACGCTGTTTTTGTTTTTTAACATTTGTAGCCAGTCAGTTGCTATTGTTGCCAGTCAGACACTATTGTGTAAAACAAACGTGTATAAAGTTAAAAAATGTAGCAAATTATCACTCAGAAGGACGTTCTGCTTGACTCTCTTCATCGCCGCTTTCTCGGTCTGATTCTGCCTCTAACTTTTACTGCAGTTCGACTCCATTATTTACATCTGGACCGGAGCTCATGACATGCACGTTTCGCTCGTAATGGTAATGGGCGTTAACCTTCTGGACAACGTGAGCGACAGTTTAGCCACAACACACCGGCCCAAACTAACCAATCTGAGCCCACTGCCTGTTTCTGAGGGAGTGGTTTCATATGCTGTCATGTAATGTATAAATTGCTCGTATATGAACTGTTGTGACATGCACACAGAGTGACTTTCTATTATGTGAAAAGATGGATGCTAAAGTTTGAGCTGACTTACAACTGTACTCTTATACAACCACTCTTCCTCTTCTTAAAATGGACTGCGTGTTCCCGGGGCAGGGTTTATGCACATTACAGGGTTGGTGATGTCACTAACCCAGGAGGAATGTTGTGTAGTCCCTACCAGCCATTTGTTGTAGTCCCTTTCTTTAAAAACAAATATGTTCCTTTGCTTTGAACTTCAAGCATTGTAACTTTGATAATGTTGTTTATGCTCAAACAGCAACATTTCACACTAACTAAAGTTAGAAAAGTGAAATTACTTTTCCACCACTTTAACATCCTTAGAACCTTTCTATAGCACAGAAAGTTCTTTATAGTGAAAAGGGTTCTTCGGATTATTAAAATGTCCTTTACTCTACGAAAAAAATGGTAACTGATCACTAAAAGGTTATTTGGGAAATTCAAAAATAGATACTTTATGGCATCGCTGCGAGAAAAAATTCCTTTTGGAATCTTTATTTTTAAGAGTGTAAGTGAGTCTGGATAATGCATGCTTTGGGTGTTAAATGCTGGGCAGAATGCAAGAATCCCACCCATGTCTGGACCCAACATTTGGACAAATTGTAGTTGCTTTAAGGAGTTTCCAAGCCTTGTTTAATCTACCACTGAGACACTCACTTTGCCAGCCTCAGCAAATTATGTAGAGCAACTGTAATTGAAATCTTGCCCATGTCATGAAAATTGCTGGCACTCTCGGTTTTACAATTGCATTGGTGCCACAGCACTAATACTTGAACCAGCAATTAAACTGGAGGCTAAGAGAACTGTCAAGGCACACTAATTATTTCGCTGCCATTTGAATATCAAATGCCTAAAGGCTATGTGCTGCAGTATAGCATAATAATATTCAAGAGCAGATCTTGCGATTTGAGGGCCGCCTGTGTTCTTCAACATTTTTGTAGTCGTCGTTCGAAAACTGAGCAATTGGTGTATAATATAGTTATATCATGCTAATCACAGTACTTCAGTGAAGAGCTGTCCAAGTGCTGTCTGAGTATAGCTATTACGAATCGAAAATTGCCGATGAGCGGAGGCCACTGGGTTAACAGTCAATTCGAGGCAAACAGCCTAAACAAAAAGCATCAAGTTAACCGCCTTTGGAAGCTAACTAAGCTTCAGAGCAGGAACATCTAAAGCCTGGGATACACCAAACCGACTTCAAAGAACTAGCGAAGCTGAAAACCAACGGTGTTGTCGCCTCGTGTCGGCTGCGTCTGGACCAAAAATCTGTGCTTGAACACACAGCACAGACTACAGCCGACTGCAAACTAGCATGCGTGTTCTGCGCCTGCTGTGTAAGGAATTAACTGTCTATATCAGTAGGTATCAATAGTCTAGTTTCAAACCGAAACAAGTACATATGAGATATAATAACGCAACGCTTGCTTAACATTTTGAATACCAGTTATGGTGATAACTTACTTTTTTTAAGTGGCTCATGTTGTTATGAAAATATTTGCATTTTGGAATGCTCAGGTAAGATAACATAACATTAGATCAGCCATCAATCTGTACCGTCTTACTTACGTCGGACTTACTTGCTCTCTTTCATCGCTTATGCTTTAATTCTCGTGCTCCTTCGCTAAACTGAACATTGAAGACATTGAACATCAACATGCTGAATCGGGTAAGCTGTCGCCGACGTGAGCCTGACGAGAGCCTGCATGTGGGACACACCACAAAAACTAGCCCAAAGGACGCTTGCAGTTATTGTGTCCTGGCCTTAAGATGTTATAAATTCCAAGAGTGCCTTTTTTAATTACATGTCTAGTAAACACTCTATTAGGAGTATAAATGGATGTTTGTGTGCCCAAGCTGATGAATGCAAATTCTAGTTCTGGAATGTATGGTAAACAAGGTCAGGAAAACAAAAGCTGCAGTCTGCTTTGTGTACGTTCTGTTTGCAGTTATGATATGATACACCTCTTTAATTAGATGTGTACAATTTGTAGGGAGATTGATTACTTGGTTATGTTTAGAGGCCTGGTCACCTTGACGTGGCATGAAAGACAAAATGAGTGAACGCAGTGTAAAATTCCAGCGTAAACCCCAGATGTTATGCAAGGAAGTCCATTTTATCCTCAGAGATCCCGAACAGAGACTGATAAACAAGTTTAGCTTTATCAAAGCTATGATTCCCATGGGCCACATTTCAACGAGAGATTACGATTATTTAAGCAAGGAAACGTTTAATTGAGGGACTTTTCACTTTGCTTAAGACTTATGTAGATGTGTCTGCATTGTAAGGATAGGTCAGGATTAATATTTTTTACTGCGATACTTTAAAGGGGATGGATTAAATGAAGTTTTTTTTGTTTAGTTTTCTTGTTTTTTGTTAATTTTGGAAAAGATTTTTGACACTGTGTTGCGCTTGTAATTGAAATACTGGACATCCCTAATTTTATATATATTTGTTCAAATATTTTTGAGTTATCCTACTGAAAAGCTGCGAACTCAGAAAACCCACAAACTAACTGATAATGACAATATGTCATTTTGCACATTCCTTCTACATGATGACAAGACTACATGCATTATTTAGTTAGAGCATTACTAAATACATTATTACTGACAGAGCACACTGTCTTGAAGCTTTTGGACTTCTAACTAAATGTGCATGGATCCTGTATAATGAGAAGAAAGAATTTAAAAGGCATTGTCTTCGTTTGAAGCAAATGGAAGAAACTCTCTGGAGAATGCAGTAAAAATCCATCAACCAGTTGGCCAAATTTTCATGGATTTTAGAAGAGAGGTCAAAACCGTGGCTGTTCCAGTGAACTCCCCCCAAGGGTGATATGAAAACACGTGCTGCACCATTTCCAACCATATGCACACATACATCAATGCATTAAAGATCTCAAATCCTTAAAGCTGACCCTCAAGCCATGAAAAGTCTGCTTAGGCGCTTAACTGTAACGTGCACAATCATGAACTGTTTTGAAATATTTCAAAATGTCCAGATGTGCATTCAAGAACATTTCCTGCAGACTTTCATTGTGCGGACTGCAATGGATGGTTGATATGTAAAGGAATGCAAGCATAGAGCATTGAAAGGAAAGCAGCCCTCTTTAACAATACATCAAAGGGAGCTTTACATAATACCACAGTGAAATGTGTGGAAAATCTGCATTGGCAACATGTCAGCTCAATTCCCCCTGTGCTACTGGCATATTATTGTTATTTAATGACTAGGCTGCTAGAGCATGTTAATGTCCTCATTAAGAAAAGTGGGTTGAGTTCTTTACTGAAATTAGCATTTTGCCTTGAAGTGAAAAAAGAAACACTGTATAATTTAATGTGAATCAAAACACATAGCGTTTCTACTTCATTTGTATCAGTCTCATTACAGATCTGACCTCTAGCTTTGCTAGTGAATCATAATCTCATTTTCTGTTTGACAACCAGCTAGCATGGATATAATAGAACAAGGCGATAGCTGACAAATACAGTAGCTTTTACGATGATGTATGATGTCATTACGGGAGGTGCACAGGCATACCAATGCTTTACAGTGATAGATCTATGTTGGCTTTTATGTCAAACTGCTGTGAAATGCTGTGTAATTTTGACAGAAATTACCTTTGCACACTGTTTATGGCTCTGACACCATCCAAGGGATCCATTACTCTGCGGACAGAAGAGAAAGTTGGAAACGCGAGTCAGAATGCTGTAATCACCAGTCACATCAGACAGGCTCATTTGAATCGTGTTATTTTAATGTGCCCCTGCTGAGCAGAGAGGCTTTAAAAAGGAAATTTCCTATTATGAACGCATTATTCTTTTTTAAAAACACTGCCCTGACTACGGTAATGTAAAATTGCTCATAAACCAGAACAGTCAGTCTACATCCCCTCCCTTATTAAAAAGACTAGCCAGGGCACCTGAGCACAGAAACATCAGAAATCACTCATCAACATTTGCATAGCAGATCTTGGAATGTTCCGTAGCGTGTCAGGAATCGTCACAGTGTTTTGCTTATCTGAATAACAACTAGTTGTTTTAAGCTTATGCAGCATGTTTGATTGGCAGACGCCCCTGGCCAGTCTTCGGAATAATGGTTATTGAATAGCACAAAAACAAACAAAGGACAAAACCTTTTTGGTGGATTGTATATTTTATTGAACATGGTGGGGACACTAAAGTAACCACAATTTTATAGCCACTATGGGGAATAGAGCAACAAATCTATTTTGGCCTGTGGTGGGATCAATGGATCAAGCTAGTTCACATGCATGTTATGGATGTGCTCTCATCAGAGCTACACAAACCTATTGTCATTACTAAAGGTACTGTATATGAGACATATTTCTGTTATTGGTAAACAATGTATACGAGCATTCTTGTATTAATTTGTATTCATGTTGGTCTTTTTTTAATAAACATTTATAACATTTTCAAGATATTTTACATTTAATGAATCTAAAATGTCATGTAATGTAACCAAATTTTTTTTTTACACATTTATTACCCTCTTTTGTTCTTAAGTATTTTTAAACGATTATTATGAACCACTTCATAAATATAATTACATTTTTGGGGGAAGTTGCACCACATGACATTTTACAACCTTGTCTTTTCATTAAAAAAACAATGTAATTCTGAATTGTCTTTGATATAATTTCCTAAGTTTATTTTGCCCATGTGCTTCTTCATATTGATTGGATCACAATAATTTTTTGGTCGCTCCACATGACTTTGATTTGGCAGACACATTTTATATAATGTCCTTTTAATTCGGGTGGTTCACTTTTGATGATATCAGGGCTGCGTTTCCCAAAAGCATCGTAAGCCTAAGTTGATCGTAAAAACGATCGTACGAATGATCTTAATGTTCTGTTTCCCAAAAGCATCGTAACTTAAGTAGCACTTGAAAATCTTCGTAGAACTACGAGTGCTCTGGAGTAATCGTACATCCCCAAGCGCATCGTAGAGAGACAGAATTACGAGGTCACCTGCAGGACAACCGGCCGATTACACTTTTATATAGATTCAATAGATTACACTGCAATGTAAGTATAATATATAGGTTTTGATTGTACTTTATTGTACACTTTGTTGTACTCGTGTTGGATAAATTAAATAATTAAAAAGGAAGAAAAAATAGAAATAGCCTACACATCTAAATTAAACGAATGAAATAAGTAATCTGGGAAATATGCTTTAAAGACCGGGCAAAATAGGGATGAATTCAAAAAAATCTGTCAATGACTTGCGGACATGCGCAAAAACCAGCCATGTATTGGGCATTTCTTGTGGACCTCAATGTGACAATGTCCTTCCAGATATTTTGTTTTAACTTATTTGTATGGTGTCCTTTAAATCTGTTAAAAATAAAATCTTTGTTTCCCTCTATCTCCTCTAGAAGGACATTAATTTTAACTTTTTGAAAGGTAGTTTATCTTCTCTTGTTTTGTTTTTTTAGTTTTTGTTTTTCAGCCATTTTGTCAGCCTGTATTGGTGTTTTATATCCATTTAGACGTGTCTTGATTTGTAATGCACAACAAATGAAGATTATTAGGTTAAACGTTCAGAATACGACTCCATATGAGGTTATATTTCAGCACTTCGCGAATGGATAGCGACGCTTAAGTAGCACGTAGAACGCGTTCTCGCGCATTCATGTTAAGTGCATTTTTGGGAAACGCATTTGGAATTGCTGCGAGCGTTCGTAACCTTGCACGTAGAGAGCGCTCTTAAGAGCTAAGATACATCGTTATTGGGAAATCCGGCCCAGGTCAGTTGTATAACCCTGAAATGTTTTGACATTATGTCCCCCTAAAAAATAATAATGATGATAATAAAATAAAATTCAAGTGTATTCCTTTTTATTGTTTTATTGATTATTTTAAAATTAGCATCTCATCATTAACCAATTCCTAAATGTTTTAAATAATTGGTCCCACTTTATATTAAGTGGCTTTAAGTACTATGTACTTACATCGAAAAATAAGTACAATGTACTTATTTTGTTCAGATTGTATTGTAAAACACTTTTGTTGCTATTGAGGTGTGATACGGGTAAGGTTAGGTGTGGTTGTATAGGTCGGTTTAAGGGTGGGTTAAGGTGTAAGGCAAGGGTCAACTGTGTAATTACAAATGTAATTACATTTATTAATTACAGCTGTAATTACATGCAGGTATTTTCAAAATATAAGTACAATGTAAAAACATGTATGTACACAATAAGTCCATTGTATCAAATTATTAATTTCAATGTAAGTACATAGTACTTAAAGCCACTTAATATAAAGTGGGACCAAATCATTTTATACCATCCTTTTTATATAATGAAGTAATAAAACTATAAATTACTATTGGTTCCTGAGAAAAATTTAAGACATAGTGAAGCAAAGACTGATAATCAAATAAAACAATGGCAGTCAAACAGGATATTGAGACAGCTGAAAGATTTGTGTATTTCCACGTAACTGTCTGCATAACGCTGACAGATCAGACGTCCTCTGAACCACATCAAATGCTCTCTAATTTCCCATAATCATTAATCATCAGTGATAGCTCCTCATAGCTCGATGTTATGCCTTGCCACAGCATAACTTGACATTCAGCTCAGCCCGTCTAAATTAACCCATGACCCCGGTTCTCCATTTGATACTAGAGGAAGGGGGATAATTGCCAAAATGGCTTCCCCCCTCGGGAGACAGCGTAAGTGGGCTTCAGGGATGTGGACACGAAGACAATGATCAGCAGATATGAAAAGCATTCATTCTGGTTTATTCCCTGCTCGGACATCAGAATGACAGCAGCTGTTCAGGAACACAAGCTGCTGTTTGAGTCAGACAGCTCTGGAACGCTTTGAACCCATTGTGGAATCGGTGCTGAGACAATGAAGAGCTTCTAGGCCAGTGTCTAATCTGATAGCATCTCCAGATGGACAGCTTGCTGCAGAATAAAGCATTTGATAAAAGAGACTGATGTGCATAGCTTCCCTCTGCACTGATGTCTAGATTAGATAACAACAAGGCAGTCACTGTGATGAGCAGACAGGGCATTTGAAAATAGAAGATGATTTAATTTGAATTTTTTAAAAGATCTGGATGATTTGTATTGGGGGCCTTTGAATTGGCATTGGGCTTTTAATTGCATACAGTGCAGTACATGTTTGCTCATGTTGATGCATTATTTAGCCTATGTCAAAAACATATTTAAGTTTTTATTATCGTACTAAAGAATAGAATAGCTTAATCTTGAAACAACAAGAAAAAAAATCACTTTTTTCATGCTGCTGATTCTGAATAATGTTTGACACTCACAGATCATATTTTTTTAATTTTATACATTGAACAAAATTCCTGCAGTGTTACATAATTCCCCTATCATTCATACTAAAGGTTTGCAAAACAATTGTAAATGAAATTGGCTGTCTAGCTGTCTCTTTCTGGGTCAGATGCTGGTGCAAACTCATGATAAAGATCAGGAAGGACATGAGGATGAATATAATCACGGTAACAAGGGAGTTTGTTGACAGCAGACAAAAAGTGCAGACACACGCACAAAGATACCCCCCCACATGCCTCCGCGCAGATACAAACACACATAAAGGCATGCGCACACACATACACAGAGGAAGTCTAAAACACAATCCTCGTCTACATCCCCAACCCCCCACCCCCATGGTCTGTCATAACCAACATAAACAGAGAAGCAAGTAACTTAAAACGTCTAATAAAAACCCCAACCGCAGTGTTGAGACTGAGGCTGGCAGAGATTTGTACAGTTGTGTCTCCAGTTTTCCAATTCTATGCATTTGTTTGTTTATAGACAGAACTCCTCTGGGTGAATGGTTAGGAATTTGAAATGGATGAGCTGATGAGTGAGTTTGCTTGTGTTCACAGAGTATGGTATAGCACTAATAATAACTGTCATTTAACTAAAAAAAAAAGTATATTTTGTTCATCTGATCAGGTGTAGAGTGATAGTACATTAAACACAAACATGTTTTATCAAATAGAGCCACTGAATGATCTATTTAGATTTTTCTGATCTATTTGGAGTTTTAAATATTAAAATTAATAATGTATTATATTGTTATTTGATGTTATTTGATATGATTATATTTTTACAGAACAAATGGCACCCAACAACACAGATTGATAGGAAAAAGTGACTTATTTCGTATATTACTTGTATAATTTCTGTACTTTTACAGTAATTTATTCTCTACTCTCCCTGGCTATTTTGATGAATATGAGACTATTTAGATCCCAAATCTACTTTGCATGCATATAATGGCAATGGTTATTATGTTTTCATTCAATTTATTCCTGCTAGTTATTGATTCAAAAGCGGAAGAAAAACAATAGGTTAATATCACTAATACAAGTAACATTATGAATAACAAGCAATACAATAAAGCTAAACAATCTCTATCCGTTGTTAAAAAAAAAAGAGATGTTGCTTTATAATATAAGTTTAGTTAAGTTTAGTAGCCTAATAATGAAGTCGCCTATTGTTTTATAAAGGTAGGGCAAAAGGTACTGACTTTACAAGGGATTCACTTAGGCTATTGTGTACATTTGAGTACAACACACAAATTTATTTGTCAACTCTTTTCTTACTTACCTGAAAATGTCTTGGAGAGAGAGCGATGCGCGTGGTGTGAAGGCTCAGGCACCTGGCGGCGCACCTCGTACGGAAAATACTGCCAAGAGCTGAAGACGAGTCCTGCCTCCTCATTACAACAAACCCGCTGTTTAGTAACAGTATAATCCCAATGCACAAACCGACGAGCGCGTCGCGCATCTTGACGAACAGAAAGTGCCCTGTTGAACCGAGGAGCTTGAAAGTAAAAGTGGATGTGTGCGGGTGCTGGATGCAAATAATGAAAGTTCAATGACCGCGTGTGGGCGGAGCTTCCACAGAGACGCGCACTGCTATTGGACAGAGTTTGCACCCGTGAGACGCGCGGGATCAGGTGCATCGAGCGCACGCAGCAGCTGTTCAGTGAAGATACACAGCTTTCATGCTCTCTGTGGATTGCTCACTTCATGGCCGAACACAACACAACTGTTTGGTTGTGACGTTGTTTCAGGGTAGCAATAGTGAAATTAGTATGATTAATTTTAACAAATAAAACATTACATCAAACAGTTACCACCCTGTTGGTTATATGTTATCATGTTGATTTGTTGAATTATCTCAAACTAATAAGCATTAATAAGTTAGAGACATTTTGTATTGCTGCCATCTTTTGGTGACACATTACAAGTAGACCACAAAATAGCAAATTGAACTCATTTCTTTATACAGAAATATAATGGTCCATCTATTAATTGATCCTACTATGTACTAACATTTAAATTATTGATTTGATACAATGCACTTACTGGGTAGGCCAACATATGTTTTTACATTGTGCTTATTGTAAAAGGACAACAGAAAAAATATGTTCATGTGATTACATCTTTAATTCATTTGTAATTACATCAATGTTTACAACACTGTTGACCCTTTCTTACCCATACCACTAAACCTGTCCCTATTCTGTATCGCATCAATTGCAGCAAATGTGTTTTGCAATCCAACATGAACACAATAAATACACTGTACCTAACAATTATTATTGGTAGAATTGTATTTAATGTTTTGTGTGTTTTTTCTAAACATAGTATTTACAGACATCTAAAAAAAAAAACAATTAGTCATCATGGATGAAAGATTTTTCGCCCTTGACTTTCTCACTCGAAGTACTAGATTCATTTTTACCAGGCCTTTTAACATCTCAGCCAACATGCCATCCAATGCACGCATTTTCCACTGAGTCTGTGTTGTTGAAATGCAGCTGTGCACGTGTGTGTCCAATAGAAACCCCAAAACATCATGGACCAAACCCTGAGCCCATCTGGAGGGGAGCAGGAAGCATCCAGGGAACCCCACAACTATTAAAAGGTTTCACTGGTAGCTGAGAACAACAACAGTTTTATGTGCACAGTGTTTAAAACGACCACTAACGTATACCACAAGGTATCTCTAAACATACTGGCACTGGTCCCTCGCCCAAGGAATGGAGAAAATATGACGTGTTGGAAATATTGAACTAAATCATGTGCTTTTTTCACTCTGTCATGCGAGTTGCTGTAATGGATTGTGCTTCACAAGGGAGATCCCAGGGTGTTAACGAGACGCTCGTCCTCCTCCCTACTGGCTTTTATGAAGTAGCGAAGCTTCCTGGTGTTTTGGCAGCTGTGCTGTCAGCAATTTGGAGGTCTTTTTTATTTTTTAACAGGTGAATCTCAATGACTTCCTTTAGCAGGCTGCGCTGACATCAAGTTAGTAGTAATTATCAACATCTGAGTACTAATCTCATGCTGTGTAAGATTGTGGGTGCGTCACAATCAGCCCACTTGCTCCCAGGTCATGAATCGGCACTGTGTACATGGGTTCGGACCCTGACTCAATGGGCCTTTCCCAACATACACTCTTGCGTTCTTTGAAATTGACAACTTGCCTACTTACGGTCATTTCCTGTATTTTGCCCAAGTGTTCAAGTGGACATGAAGACGAAGAAATATGCATTGTGTTGTAAGAATTCAAGTAGGCTAAAGTTTAGTTAAGCTTTATTTACACATTTTGGTTTTTAGTGCTTTACAATAAACTTATTTGTTCAGTGGTCAGATAACAGATAACAATTTAATTGTTGTGCTTCTAAAAAAAAAAACTGGTGCTTTTTTTCCTCTAAATCTTGCAATTTTGGAGTGGGTTTCTGGGCGGGATGACTAATGTGATTTTTTTTTTTTTTTTTTTCTTAGCTTTGCCATTTTTCAGATTAGGCCTTTTTCATTCACGCAATCAAATCCAAATTGTTCAATGCTTTAGAATTCTTGTTAAAGGTGCAATGTGTAAAAAAGTTGAGTATCTATTAACAGAAATGCAATATGACATCCATAACTAACTTTTCAGTGGTGTATAAAGAACTTACTTAATTAACCGTAATGTTTTTATTACCTTAGAATGAGACATTTATAGCTCCCTTCTATGAAGGTTGCCATGTTGTGACGTCATATTCCTACCGTAGCCGAACGCGAACAAACAGCGCTACAGAACGCGTTTCATCACTACCTTGAAAGAGAAGTAGCGGAAAGCTGGAGCCTTACACTCCGTGAGTAGTGACTTTTCCCTTGTGAGTGGTGTAAAATATGTAGTTGGGATTGTTTCATGTAACTTAGTTCTCCCTCTCTGTGTTATGGGTTTGTTATGTTGGGGATAGATGTGCTGTTACGTTCGTGAGACAGCTGATGATTAGTATTCATGTCATTGACCGTAAAAAAGTATGTTACAGGAATCACTAACCCGTCGATAGAGACTTTTAGATCAGAGAAAAATCAGAGAAAAATTCAAAATCAAAATTCAAAATCAGAGAAAAAAGCCTATTGCGTGTAGTAAATAGTATGGGATGTGGAGGTCACAAAAATGACATGATTGTAACAGCGCGCGCACTTCCGACCTTTGGACTCATGCAGACGCGTCCCAGCTCAGCCACAGTAACAGCTCATATTAGCCAGCTAAACTATTACTACCCTGTTAGAAAAAAATATATAGCTGCTCCCTTGCTGTATTATGGGTTTGCTACAGTATGTGGGGAGAAATGTGCTGCTGGTTACGTTTGTGAGACAATCAGCTGATTACTATTATTATATTAAATTATATATTAAAACCCTTGATCCTCACCTGACTGGCTTGTAAACAGTATCCATGATGTGGTTTATAATGGACTGTGGTACAGAAACAGTGACAATGTTACACACTCTTGGCTTACTCTGGCTATTCTCTGCTGTCTCAGCCGACGAGATGTTTGTCCCATTTTAGCAACCGTAGCTTCTTCGAAAGTGAGGGGTGAGCAGTGGGCTGAGCCCTTAGTGCAAACCTGGTGCAAACTCGCAACCGAACCGCTAGATGTCGCTAAAAATCCCACATTGCTCCTTTAAAGGAACATAATGAGCATTGATACTTTGGTTTTCGTGGTGCACTGTGGGATTTTCTATGGTGTGATTTTCTATAGGTTGTCTCAATCTCAAGAATTTTGTGATTGAGACAATCCATAAAATGCCAGACTTCATAAAACGTCAGTGCCCTGTAAATGTACTTACTTTACATCCATTTAAAAATATGTTCTATGTTGTGTAAATGTGTGTAATATGAAAGTAATCCAGACATACGTTTATATTTTCATTTGCCCTACCAGTGTCAGTTGCGTCTCTTCACTCTTTCCTGTGGCCTTATGGTCTTATGTTTTTGACCATCGTATAGTAGGGAATTATATGCATATAGCCAGTGACTCCATACTTGCATGTGAGTATTCTCTGAAACATTTCACTATGCCAGATTGGTGCTCCTGGTGGTCGAACCACACACCATAACATTTAGGAGGTGAGGTGTCAGTCATTCCCCCTAAAAAAGCCTTTAAGCATCAGTCTATGTTACTTACACATAAAATTAGCCGTCTGTGACGTGTTTGTGGTTTCCTCACAGCTGTGAATTTCTATGTAAGCGTCTATACAAGTGTGTGCACTCCAGCAGGATAGTGTGTAGTATTGGTGGTTGGTGTGTGTGTGTGTACACATGGAAAACATGTTGGTGTGGGGTCCTCTTTTCTCCTGCAGCCTTACTGAATGGTATTTCCCTTGTGCTTCCAGTGAAATGCCTCGGCCTTTGGGGAGCCCAGCTCGTAAATACGGAGTACAGGGAGACCCTTGTAGTTTATTTGGGCATAGTAGGGGAGCATGAGGTAGGTTGATTTTGTCATTTCCCTATTATTCCTCCGAGTTAGGAAACAACCTGCTAATATGCCTGAATAACTTTTTATGGTGTTATTTTGGGAAAGCCGAATTAACCGAATGTTGATGTCAGCCTATGAGTCACATTTACTCAAGAGCAAAAAAATATGAGTAAAGTTAATGAAAATGAATTGTCTTTAAAAAAAGAGGAATGTGCAGTTCTTAAACTGATCAGAATGATGAAACTACTCACCATCTGGCAAGTGAAAACTATGATAAAATCAAAATGGAATAAAAGAGGGGAGGAAGGGAGAGATTTCATCATAGCCACTTTGATTTATTTATTCTGATCAAGTATAAATGGAATCTTGGCAGTGGCACAAGGAAACTCATTTTTGTGTTAAAGCGAGACATTTTGAGGTCTGTCAGCTCAGAATGGGTTATTAGGCCTGACAGAAGAGCCTGGTCGTCTTTGTTTAATAACTCTGCTGACATCTGGTGGGCATTAGTGCCATTACAGAAGTACATTTAATGTTTTCCTGGGGACCAGATACTGTCAATGAAAAAAAAATCACTCTGACATAGTCATTAATAGATGCAGTATTTGCCACAAATTCTAAGGTTTCCATAATCCATGTCATCATAGTGTAGATCACTGAAACAATGAAGTCTGGACTTCATTTAGAACTAAGCTTTTTTGAAAAATTACTTTCGAAACACACAACAAAGAATCTGAAATCATTTTAAAGATAGGACGATGTCCATTTCAGATACATGGAGCAACATTTTCTTTGTCTTTGATCTAAAATGTTCACAGAAAGAAGCATTGTTTGTAATGGTATGCTTTCTAATCTTTTATTCACCTTTTTCTTTTCAAAATTAATACAGTGTATATGAAAGAGAAGTTTCATTCTAGTTTGAACACTTCAGGGCCTCAACCACCATAGATAATCTTTGTTTTTCCATAATTGTGACATTTTACATAAATGTGTGAGAAAGCAACCTATTTGTATGTGATCTGCTGGGATTTTCATGATTCAGTCCCCTCATCTATCCAAAGAACAATATCTTGATCACAGTCAGAGAGGAACACTTAATAACTTGTCCTGTTAATCTAAT